AATGACCAAAAATTAAAAATATTTATGTAATTGAGAAATGCCTGACTTGAAAAAAATGTGTCTGCAAACTACCTGTCAAAGAAGACTGTAAAGAGAAATAAGAATCCCAAAGCTAAGTGTGAAATCCATGTGTGAGTTTATAACATCAGAGATTATTAAAAATTGCTATATTTCTGATGGTATTATCATTGATGAAGTGGTATAGGTAACTTAAGATTTAAAAAGTCCGTATTTCAGCCACCAAAATAGTGGCTGAAATAGAGCACACAAAAATAATTTTAAAGTTTCTAAATATTCACATTTCCTGAATTTTCAAAAATCATTTACTAGACATGTGTTTAATAGCCATAATATAAATGGTAATTTAAAAATGATTTGATGTTCTAGAATGAAATATAGAAAATTAAAGTCAGCTCTTAAAAATAATTGCATGTTCATTTTTTTTCTTTTTGAACATGGTATAGGATCACTTTTTTTTTTTTGAGATGACTTCTCACTCTGTCACCCAGGCTGGAGTACAGTGGCTGATCTTGGGTCACTGCAACTTCTACCTCCCGGGCTCAAGCGATTCTCCTGCATCAGCCTCCTGAGTTGCTGGGATTATAGGCACGTGCCACCATGGCTGGCTAATTTTTCTGTATTTGTAGAGATGGAGTTTCACCATGTTGGTCAGGCTGATCTTGAACCCCTGACCTTGTGATCCACCTACCTTGGCCTCCCAAAGTGCTAGGCGTGAGCCACCACACCCGGCCAGGATGGCATTTATGCAACCTTTCTTTCATATTTCATACCTTGTATTCACTGCATTGAAACATATTTTCATATCATTTGCTGTGTTGTATTAGAGATTATTGTTTTTTAATGCTCTCAAATTGAATTGTGATTTATCTTCATAAATAGACTAAAGCCTTAAAATATGTGAATCAATACATTTTCTAAACAACATATGACATTATATAATTGTGTGTTCAGTAAGTTAATGCATAAACAATGTGATTCTTATGTGCACTAGAGTCTTTTGTATATAAGAATGCAATAGAGGTTCAATAAAATGTATAGTGTAGTGTGGCTTTAAATGTCTTAAGCCCAGAGTTCCTTTTATGGCAAATGTACTTGGATATTGTTTTTGAGAGAAACTTAGACATGCATTATAACATCCTAAACATATCCAAAGTTTGAAAGTAGATAATTAAAGTCTGGGGAAATGTCAGAGTAAGTAGTAACATATAATATTTACAACCACACTTGTACACAGATTCCACTATCTCATGTTACTTGTTTTGTGATAAATGATTTATTTCTACTAGGCATGTTTATCATGTGCAGCTCTAATAAAAGCTAGACTGGATAGGAAATGAACTCGGATGGTTTCTCTTTCTTAAGGACCAAGTAGGTTGATGGTAAATAGAAAGGTTCCCATTATTTTTGATATATATGTTGTGTGGACATCTGGATATAGAAATAGCATAGATTATATCCTTATCATAGACAGTAATATATTTCAAATAGTAGTTCTCAGTTTTATTCAATACATGTTCCCCCTTCTTTCCGTATCCCCTACTTATAATCATAGAATTCTTCTTCCCATCTCCAAGATCCTGATACACTTTCTTCCCTACCAACCTAGCTTGAGAAATACTAATCTAAAACATGATTCTGATAACAGTGACTCCATTTTTGATCTGAGAACAGCCCTCCTCTCTCTAGGTCCATATGATTTGGTTGAGCTTATTCCATCTCTAGCCTGGGGAGTGGGCAATGATTCATATAGATTCTTTATCCCTGGTTGTAGTTCAGAGACTGATACATGAAGAAAGTAGGTACACAAGATTCAATTCCGACAAAAAAAATGTCATGAAATATTATGAAAGTTTATTCATTTATTTTTCTGTGGGTGAGAGATTGGTTTTTGTAAGGAAAAGGCAAGGCTGGAAATATCAGTACCTGTAATATAAAGAGGCCATACTTAAAATATAGTCATCATAAAACAAAGTTGGACCAAGAAATGGAAAGTGATGGAATACCAATCATATTGTTTGAGTCTCTGAATCCAACCATTCCTGAAGCTAACATTTCCCCTGAAATTAGTCATATAAAATAGCACATTAGTGCCTTTTTTTTCCTTGGCCTAAATGAATTGAGTTGGCTTTCTGTCTATTGTATGTAAAAATATGCTACAAAAATGACTCATGGAGAAATGTGCATTTCAGTAATTATTTATTTATTTGTCACATATATGTAAACTACAATGTAATTCCCCTCTAGCTTATTTCTCTTATCTACAATCTCTCCAGCATCATGAATACTGATTATATATTTAATTACCAGAGTAAACATTATTCTTGGAGCGTAAACAATCACATTATTCTGATTGGATATTAACAATCATGTCCTCTTAACTCAGGTGTGGTTAGCTTATTATACTGTTTAACTGCAACATTTTTATCATTGAAACTGATATTCTTTTGTGCTGTGTTTATGGCTTTCTTAATTCATGGTTTTGCTTGGTTTACGTATTTCGTTACCTATTTTCTCTCACTCTCTGTCTTTGTTTTTCCTACTGGGTCTCAGGGATTGAAGTGTTATTTGACTCATAGCTTCCTATGCTTTCTCATATATATGGTATTCTACACTACTAACTCTTAGCCTATAACTTTGTTATAGTTGCTCAATTGCTGATTACCTCCTTCTATTTTTTTTCCCTTGACCAATCTTAAAGCACCTTCCAGCAGAAACTTTTATCAAAGAAGTTTTGTTAGCTAGGCATGCTTGGATTCCCTAGTAACAGTGTCTCAGCACATGGTAGGACTTCAATAGATGTTTACTAAATTAATATAAACATACCTTAAGAAAATGCCATTCTAAAGTTGTGAGAAAATAAATGCTGTTCCAAAGCTGCCTGATCTGTGCTCAGAGAGACAATTAGACAAAACGAGAAGTGAACTTATTTATCTTACCTTCAATGTAGAGTTAGTTTTGATGATGGCTGTTAATCACTTACTGCTATTTGGAAGGCAGTAGTAGACATGTCTCTCTATTTAGTGAGGTTGTGTCTTCCTGAAAATGCTCTATGAGTGAAACAATAAAACTTCAAATGGTAGTAAACAATTGTTTATCTTTCAGTACAAGTTTCTATATTATTTCATCTATTTTTTTTTAAGTTTATGGGACTCCAGGGAGACTATTAGGAAGACAAGGCCGCTGTGCCTTTGGCATTGCAATATTGCTGCAGTCTGTGTTTCAGATGCTCTCCCATGCTCGTTGACCAGAATCTGCCCTCATGGAGACCTCTAATGGTCCAGCTCCTCATTTTCTTCAGTCATTATTCCCTCTGACTGCACTTGATTCCTTGCTTCGTCAGAATTTTCATCAGTCACCTTTACAGAGTCCTAACGCTCTAGATTGCCTTGTACCTTTAACCTATAGCCAGATCTGCAGTGTCTGGATCAACCCCTGACCAATTTAATCATTTTTAATGCTCATAGGCTATATAATAGCTATTGAGAGTTACTGGAATGTGTCAGTTTGACTCATTGTGGCCTCAAACATTTAGTTCACTGCAAAAAGCAAATTTTTAAATTCATGTATCAATATCCCAGTACCATTTTTTCTTAATTTCAGATTACCTCAAACATTTAATCTCATTCCATTAGCCTCAATTTGTTCAGATAATCTCACTTCCTGTCTTAACAATAAAATTTATTTCTTTTCTCACTATTTTACCTATCTTCCTTCTCTAATCACAAGTACTTTTGTTTATATTCATCTTTCTTCTTTGCTTCATTTCTTTATCTGAGGTAGATCTGCCCCTTTCTCTTTCTGGGGCTAATTTCAATCCATTTTCTCCTCACAGTCTCTGCTCTCTCATTTTTTTTTCTTAATTTAAAACATCTTTAATCTTTTTATCTCCAAACTTTTCTTCCCTGCACCTGTAAAATAAACAGGTTGCCAAAATTTTCACTATTGCCAACATTTTCGATTCAAAATTAACAACAATTGTGTATGGGTAATTATGTACTCTAATTTCTCTTTGATACAGGGTCTTGCTCTGTTGTCAGGTGCCAGGCTGTAGTGCAGTGGCACGATCTTGGCTCACTGCCACCTCCAACTCCCAGGTTCAAGCAATTCTCCTGCCTCAGCCTCCCGAGTAGCTAGGACTACAGGTGTGCGCCACCATGCCCAGCTAATTTTTTTGTATTTTAGGAGAGACGGGGTTTCACCATGTCAGCCAGGATGGTCTTGATCTCTTGACCTTGTGATCTGCCCGCCCCAGTCTCCCAAAGTGCTGTGATTACAGGCATGAGCCACCATGCCTGGCCAACTCTAATTTTAAGCCACTATTTATTTAGCAGTGCCACACTTGAGCCTACTGAAATCCTCTCTTTAAATTCACTGACAAAATTTTATTTGCCAAATTCAACAACTTTTTTTCTGTTTATACTCTCTGAACATTTGGCTCTGTCTGCTGCCTTGTCATTAAAAATATTTCTCCCTTTGCACATCCTGAAGACTGTGTTTGTCTTAACAGTGGACTCTTCCTGAAACTCTCCACTCCTATTTCTACTTTATTTGCACTTTATATCTGCTTGGAGACTTCATATACTACTATTAGAGTAATTTTTTATAATACTGCTTTATCATTGCAACTATGATGCTTGAAAACCAGGACAAGTTCTAAACATCATAGTATGGCAACCAAGGACAGCAGCCTTGGCCTAACCTATCTTCCCTGTCAGCTTCTATGCCATCCCAATAGGGATCTTATGTTCCATCCCAGCTCATTTTCTCACTTTGCTAAAATTGTTCCGATGGTTATATACTTTACTTTCATTTTGCCACCTAAAATTTCCATGATTGAGAAGAGTTACTTTTAGCAGCTACCACAAAGCTTTTGCTAGAATTTCCAAGCATCTGTGATAAACAGAAAAATTAAGTCACTCCTGCTTGCTTTGAAATATCTCCTTCCTATGTGGGGAGAGTTAATCTTCATTAACTTCCAGATGAGATATCCACAGCATATTGGTATGTGCTAATGAATGTCTAAACAGTGCCAGAACTTGGCTAGTCTTAGGGATTGTCTAAATGAAAAAAAGCATATCCTGTGCTCAAAAGGATCTCACAGCTATCTTGTCCCTTAGGACATTAAGTCTAGCTTTAGCTCATATCTGAAAGCTTTAGCTAGTATGAGTATGGCAACATTTGTTTTTTTAAATTAAAACACTCCCAATTGTGGGAGCTAACAAGATGTTTTATCAGTTCTTAAAATCATGGCAAGTTCACTTTTATTGTGTTACCAAAATCAGTGACACTTTTAGGTTAGAATGTGAAATTCAACTATTTTTCTTGATGTAGTATTTCTTACTCAATTATAGACTATGGAAAATTTAACACTAGGTGAATTTATAATTACTTGTTGACTTACTAAATTACTAAACAAAAATCCTATCCATTCCTATTTAAAGGTTTTCAAAAGAGAATAATTGTATTACTCTTTTCTCACATTGATAAGAAGAAATATCCAAGACTGGGTAATTTATAAAGAAAGGGGGTTTAATTGACAGTTCCACATGGCTGGGAACGCCTCAGGAAACTTACAATCATGGTAAAAGGCACCTGTTCACAGGGCAGGAAGAGAGAATCAATGCCAGCAGGGGGAGTGCCAGATGCTTGTAAAACCATCAGATCTCATGAGAACTTGCTATCATGAGAACAGTATGGGTGGAACTGCCTCCATAACTTAATTACCTCTACTTGGTCCCACTCTTGACACACGGGGATTATTACAATTCAAAGTGAGATGTGGGTGGGTACACAGAGCCAAACCATATCATTCTTCCCCCTGGCCCCTCCCAATTCTCATGTCCTCACATTTCAAAACAAAATCATGCTTTCCCAAAAGTCCCCCAGAATTGTAACTCATTCCAGCATTAACCCAAGACTCCAAGTTCAAAGTCTCATCTGAGGCAAGGCAAGTCCCTATTGCCTAAAAGCCTATAAAATCAAAAGCAAGCCAGTTACTTCCTAGACATAATGGGGTTGCAGGTACTGGGCAAATATACCCATTACAAATGGGAAAGTTGGCCAAGTCAAAGGGGCTATAGGCCCCAGGCAAGTCCAAAAGCCAGTAGGGCAGTCATTGAACCTTAAAGTTCCAAAATGATCTCCTTTCATGTCTCATATCCAGATCACACTGATTGAAGAGGTGGGTTCTCACAGCCTTGGGCAGCTCTTCCCCTGTGGCTTTGCAGGGTACAGCCCCATTCCTGGCTTCTTTCATGATCTGGTGTTGAGTGCCTGTGGCTTGTCCAGGCACATGGTGCAAGATGTTGGTGGATGTACCATTCTGGGGGTGGAGGACGATGGCCCTCTTCTCACAGCTCCACTAGCCAGTGCCCCAGTAGGGACTTTGTGTCGAGGCTGCAACCCCACGTCTCCCTTCAGCACTGCCACAACAGAAGTTCTCCATGAGGGCTCCCTCCCTACCACAGAATTCCATCTGGACATCCAGGCATTTCCATAAATCATTTGAAATCTAGGTAGAGATTCCCAAACCTCAATTCTTGACTCCTGTGAGCCAACAGTCTCAACTCCACATGGAATCTGCTGAGGCTTGGGGCTTACACCATCTGAAGAAGTGGCCCAAGCTGTACCTTGCCCCCTTTTAGCCATAGCTGTAGCTAAAGCAGCTAAGACAAAGGGCACCATGTCCTGAGGTGGCACACAGCAGAGGGGCTCAGGGCTCAGCCCATTAAACCATTTTTCCCTCCTGGACCTCCAGGCCTGTGATGAAAAGCGTTGCTAGGAAGGAGTCTTACATGCCCCAGAGACATTTTCCCCATTGTCTTGGTGATTAATATTTAGTTCCTCATTAATTATGCAAATTTCTGCAGCTGGTTTGAATTTCTCCCCAGAAATTACTGTATTAGTCCATTCTTATGCAGCTATGAAGAAATACTCGAGACTGTGTAATTTCCAAAAATAAAAATAAAAAAAATAAGTTTAATTGACTCAAGTTCTGCATGGCTGGGAAAGCCTCAGGAAACTTATAATCATGGTAGAAGACACCTCTTCACAGGGTGGCAGAAGAGAGAATGAGTGTCAGCAGGAAAATGCCAGACACTTGTAAAATTGGTTTTCTTTTCTATCACATCATCAGGCTGCAAATTTTTCAAACTTTTATTGTCTGCTTCCTCTTGAATGCTTTGCTGCTTAGAAATTTCTTCTGCCAAATACCCTAAATCATCACTGTCAAGTTCAAAGTTCCATAGCTCTCTAGGGCAGGGGCAAAATGCCACCAGTCTCTTTGCTAAAGCTTATCAAGAGTAATCTTTATTCCCGTTCCCAACACATTTCTCATCTCCATCTGAGACCACCTCAGCCTGGATTTCATTGTCCATATCACTGTCAGCATTTTGGTCAAAGCCATTCAATAATTCTCTAGGAAGTTCTAAACTTTCTCACATTTTCTTGTCTTCTTCTGAGCCCTACAAACTCTTCCAACCTCTGTCTGTTACCTACTTCCAACGTTGCTTCCACGTTTTCAGGTAACTTTACAGGAATACTCCACTACTCCCAGTACCAATTTACTGTATTAGTCCATTCTCATGTTGCTGTGAAGAAATACCCAAGACTAAGTAATTTAGAAAGGAAAGAGGTTTAATTGGCTTACAGTTCCACATGGCTGGGAATGTCTCAGGAAACTTACAATAATGGTGGAAGGAGAGAGAATCAGTGACAGCAGGAAAATGCCAGACACTTATAAAATCATTAGATCTCATGAGAACTCACTTACTATCACAAGAACAGCATGGGGAAAACCACCCCAAAGTATTTAGTTACCTCCACTTGGTCCTACCCTTGCCACATGGCCTTTATAAAGCTTAAAGTTTTAATACTTATCCCTTCCTTGTCAGCCTATTGTCCTCTGGGGTATAAATTTAAATTCAAATATATTTCTGTGTAGGAGTGAGGCAAAGACTTTAGGTACTCCAATAGTGACTATTAGCTTGGTGTCTCTGTCTGACTAGAGGCCTGACTGACTTCCTTGCATCCTACATAAATTCTTTTAAAAAAAAAAAAATAACAATTGAGGGTCAGTTTTCCTTGATGTAGAACTCCTTTGGACAGCAAGTCCTCTGATATAAACTCAAGAGTCATTTCTTGAATATGAGGGATCTAATGAAGCATTTCTAGTATTCCCAAAAAAATACCTAGAGCAGAAATGTTTGAAATCACTATTTCTCCTGGTAGAAACATAATGCAAATACATGACTTAAAAAGCTGGTCCAGTCTGTAAACTGTCTATTATATACACAGAGGAGAGATTTAAAAAATGATTCTCCTTTCTCCCTTGTGTACTTAACTGACTCAGAACAGCTAACACTATCCATTCTGTTCACAGAACATGCTATTCTCTGCCCAGGACTTGCCGAACAAGCAGAGCTAGCCGGCTACTATCCTACTCTGCTGTCTGATATGTTTGTGCAGTTCTATTACCAGTTGGCTTGTATACTTAGCACAGTGTATTCCCAAACCATTTGTGTCATTTATTATTATAATTACATAATTTAATTGATAATCTGTGAGTTAATGTAGTATGAGTGTGAAAAGAGAGTTGTTTTCATGATAACTAATTAGAATGCTCTGGAAAGGCTTGATAAAGGTGAATTGCTAAAAATACTGTTTGCCGTCAAATTGAGTGTGAGCAGGTCAAATATAAACCATGAAGGGAACATTATTAGAATGCAGATCTTTGCTTTTCAGTAACATTTAAAAAATTCGTGTCCTACTTAAAAGATACTATGTAGGAATTGTATATAGTGGCTTATATATATGGTTAAAGAAAGAAAATGGAGAATTGCAACAAGCAAATTCACACATTTTTAAAGAAAAGATCTTGTCTTGCATCAAAAATATTAGATAATAGGTGTGACTTATTTTTCACATAAAATAAAATATAAAAATATATGTATATAACATTTTAAATATTTTGAATATTTTATTTCCTGCTTTTTTAACTCTCCAACCAATCAGTGTTCTGGATAACATAAGACCCTGTATACTGTAAATGCTTTAGTCCTAGTAATTGTCTTTTTCTGCTTATTTTAACTTGGAACCACCAAATCCACACAGTAGAAAGTAGATTCTTTGCTTGGTCAAGCTGAGTTTCCCTAGCATGCTATATTATTCTGAATGAAATTACTATTATCTTCCCAAAATTCTTTCTCATCTTTTTCACATATATCTGATGATAGAACATATCTGACTTTCAACTACACTAGTCATATCATAGATTTTATGCCCCTGATTGCACTACTTGGTATTCCATCAGCCTCCCACTCACCTGATCCATCTGCTTTGTCCCCTAACAAAGTCCTCTTCAAATACTCTCACTCAACTATTCACCTCCTTTGTGTAATCATCCCAGCAGGGAACTCCTTTTGTCTTATGGGAGTAATCACTATTCCTCACAGAGCAGCATTTGTCACTCTTAGCCAGAGTCTAAGCTTCTTTATGGGGAAAGAGTATGTATTGATTTTTTATGTATCCTCAAATCCTAGCAAATGCTAGATATTCAGTAATGTGTGTAGAATGAAGTAACAAAAGATGAAATTTGTTTTACATTGAAAGTTGAACTAACAACTAGAATCTTTAGAGAATAAGAACTCCCTCAGATGCCAGTGAATTCCCTCATCATTCTACCTTAAGTTACCTTTCTTCTCTTTTTTTTTCCACAGATATTCCTGAATTTATTGTCTCAACTCTCATACCTCCTATTAATCCTAAACCCACTATATTTCAATTTCAGCCCCTGAAAATTTATGGAAGATTTTTAAGAAGATGGTAAACAACCACTGACAAAGAATTCTAGTAGGAATTGAACTATCAGATGCTCGGTTGGAGCAGATTAAATTTAAAGCCCTCTCTTGCCTTGACATTCCATGAATTACCTTTCAGTAACTCACAAATTTATGGTGCCCTTCACATCCCACCATATGGGCTGTCATCTATTC